CATCGAATCCTCAGGAAGATAAAGCCCTGGTGTAAAAGAGGCAGTCACGCCCTTGGTTATCTCATGTGTCACATCTCTCCAGAATTCCCTGAAATTGTCACTTCGTCCTAGTCACTAAACAAATATTTATTGTATGCTGGGCCCTGTGTTGGATGCAGGAGATTTTATAAAAAGCACTCAAACTATATTATGATACTGGTATGAATTATCGAGAGACAGTAAGTTCTGTGGTTTAATGCATGGGCTTTGGGCTTCGAAACTCTAAGTTTCAATTCCAGCTCTGTGATAGCCTGAAGCCCTGGCCCAGTTACTTAACCTCTCCAAATCCTAGTTTCTCCATTTGTCAAGTGGGAATAGTAACAGAATAGACTTCACGGAGTTGTCAGAGGGATTAAATGAGATAATCCATCGAAAGCAATCAGCCCAGGTCCTGGCAAACTGTAAGTACCCAATAATTGGGGACTATTTTTAGCATTTTTGTGAGCTAGCTATACTGTGTGAATACAGTGGTAGATAAGATTGGGTCACAGAAGGGGGACCCTTTACACATTGTACTTAGTCTGCCTGTGTTAAGAGAGAAGTTAGTCAACCTTCCCACCCATCAGCCTCTTCAAAGTATAATTTTATTTCAGTCTTCGGAAACTTTTAAGATGAGGTATTCATCTTAATAGCCACAGACAGTGTGCATCAGAGGAAAGGAAATGAGCAGAGAAAAGCAAACACTGAGAAGTAGATTGGCTGGTCAACGTGCGGCCCCCCAAGGCCATGGCTGCTGCGTCCTGCATTGGCTAATCTAGCTATAGGTGTGTCGCAGTCTGTGAGGTGTACTGAACATATGAAAACCCAAACTGAGAAGCTGGAGCAGCCCAGGGTCCCGTCAGTCTCGAAGCAGAATTCTCCCTTTGAGCTCACAGGTAACTGATGTTAACTGGATCAAGCCACAGAGGAGCGAGTCGGGGAAGGTGTGAGGAAGATAATAGGGTGGCAAGGATAAGAGCTTGGGTTGTGGAGTGAGACAGATGTTTGTTCCCTGCCTGTGACCCTGGACACCTTGCTAGCCTCTCTGAGCCTCAGTTTTTCATCTGTAACGATGGGGATATAACTGTAACTCTTTTACAGGATGGTCAAGATAAAGTGTATGTGTGACTATAGAGCATTTTAGAGGTAGGAATTTGTGCTTTGCGCAGAGTAATCTCTGAAATATTAGCTGTTTTTATTATAGATAGTCAGGTCTCTCCATGGCTGGAAAAAGACAGAGTGGACATTTTCATGATGATTCTTCCCAAAGGGGAAGGATGCGAACAATTAAACCTCCTTACTCCTAAGAATAGAAAGCATTGCCGATGAGAAGGCAGGGTGATTTTCACAGTCCATTGTCAACACCAGCGACAGCCGGTCTCTGCCTCCGTCCCTCCTCCGTCCAGGCTGAACAGATTGGAGGGGCACCGGCTCAGAGCCTGACCGTGGGCTTCGATCCATGCAGCTGCACAGGCCCCATGCTCAGACAGGACCTATGCTGGGTATAATGCTCTGTTGTTCCTTCTTGAAATTCTTAATAATTTTAGCTTTGAACTTCGTTTGTAAGTGAAGTTTGATGAAACAATGGAACATGCATTTGAGCAAAGGAAACGCTCAGAGAGAGGGAAATGCTATACATCTTTGTGCCGTGGATGGCACTTTTGTCATGCTTTGTAAATAAGGAGCCCCTCATTTCAACTTTGCACTGGGCCCTGCAAATGATGCAGCCAGTTCTGATTAGACTGGAGACTGCCTCTTTTTGCTGCTCCACTGGACCAGGTTACCGTTCTGAAATCCGATGGATAAAGTGGATTCAGTAGAGACCTACGGACTTGAGTTGAGCCAAGGGTCATGGTAGGAAGCCAGAAGCACAGCTGCAGGTCTCATGGAAAGGAAAAGCAACTCAGGGTCTGGTGAACAGGGGTGGTCAGGGCAGCCTCCAGCAGTTTGGCTTCCATCCAGCTGACCAGGTCTTGGAGGCCTCGCCCTGGCCCAGTCTGAGTCACGTCGAATGCCTTATGAGCTGAGCATCTTTGGGTAGCAGCAGGGGTCTAGGCAGACTAGATTAGTGCCTGCTGAGCAGGCCACAAACTCCGTACAAACCAGGCCGAAGAACACTCTCATGGGGGTGCAGTGTGGGGAGCCCCCAGGCACTGGGATCAAGGCCTCTTTGTGTCTCAGTGTTAAAGCATCTCATTCTAGAACTGTTTTGGTTTCCAGCAGGAATCTTCCTCATCCCTATGATCAAGCATGATAAATGCCTAAAGAGATTAATAGCACAATTAATCATAAAGAATAAATTAATGCTCATGTTTTTTGCCAATATTGCTAGTCATTAATAGTATTTATTATTGATAATCATGACAATAACAGAAGCAAGGGCTGAAAATTAGAAATTAAGAGATTTGGGTTCTAGCCCAACTTAGTTGCAATTCGCTGGCATAAAATATGCAAGATCTTGAGTTTCTCCTCAGTTTTATGATCTGTGAAATAGGGATGACAGTCGCTGTTTTACTTCTTAGCTTGTGTAGTAGGGAGGACATTGTCTAAATTGCTTGCCCAGCAAAGGGATGGACTTAGTAGGTGCTGATTACATATGTGTTAAATAGATAACACAAAATACAAGTGATCATGGCTGTTACTAGAATACATCTTACGTATCCTTATTTGGAGAAGGGAAAGTAGCCAAAATGTGCTGTGCTCTTGTCCTATTCCAAGCCTGCTACTATTTTCCCTGCGAAATGAGGTTATTTTATAGCTGAGCAAACTGAGATACAAGGACACTCATTAATTAGCCTCAAGTCCCACGGTTTGTAAGTAACTAACCTGGGTTTGAACTAAGGATATCTCATTCAAAACGCTATGCCTTGTCACATCACCTTTGCTAGGACAAAGATTGCCTTATCTCGGGGGCTCATTGCAATTGCTGATGACCAAAGTTAAGAGTTTCTCTCTATGCATCTAACATTTTGCTGTTGTGTTTGAAACCTGTAACTTCTCTTTCTGTCTCATGTCCTTGTCAGTGTCTTCTTTTCTCTGTTGTGACTGTTATGCTTCCCCATGGATGTGGGCTCCCCTTGCCCTCCTTGTTACGTGCTCTCTTGTCAACTCTCTAGAGCCTTCAGGTCTTTGAGCTGATTTGCACGCAACAGCGAGATTAAAAGCGAGATTTCTATCGCTTACAAAAAAAAATAAAAATACAACCAACGAACAGAGGAAAATAGTCAAGCCTGTGTTAGTCAAAAAAATGCCCGTGCAAATGTCAGTGACAAAACAGACCAGAAGAAAATGTGAAAAGAGCCAACCCAATGATGGCAAGAAGCCCTGTGATTTTCACTCTCCTTCCCAGAAGGTGGGAGGACGGTCCCCACCTTTATGGAAAGCACTGGGAATAGGTGTCCCAAGCCTTGGAAGTATTCTGATGAGCACAGTTCTTGCAGCGTTGTAAGGACACCATCATGTTTGTCGACACATAAAGACATGGCCTCCCACCTAGGTCTCTATCCCAAGGGAATAATCAGAGATGAAATAAAAAAAGTTATGTCTGTCCCAGTCTCATTAATAAGTAAGTTATAATGTATCCATAAGATACAATATTAGAATTAAAAATAATATTTTAATGAATATTTTACAATATAGAAATTGACCACCATAGAAAGTAAAATGAATAAACGTCTCTATACAAAGTTTCATCCATTCCCATTTCCTAGTTTTATAAAAGAATGTATTTGGCATCATTCATTTATTCAACATAACTCAGTAAGTGTATCCTATGTGCTAAGCACTAGCTATGCAACATAAACAAAGCACAGTCTCCGTGCTTATGGGACTTACAGAATAATAGGGGATTCGGCTACAAAAATCAGACAAATCAATAATTAATAATCGATGATGGCCAGGACAGAAAATTAGATAATACGTTTGAGAGAATTTAACATTGGAGCCAAATTTACAACGGGAAATCATGGGACATGTTCTCTGGGAAAGTGGTGTTTAAGCTGAGCCCGTAAGAGGCAGCCAAGAGAAGGGTAAGGTGGGAGGAAGCACTGCCAGCAAAGGGAACGGCGCATGCAACAGCCCTGAGGTGGCCCAACCAGGACGCCTGTGACACCGGAGCGGATGCATCAGAGACCATATCAGGGGGTCTGGATGGCATCTTGTGTGCGCTGGCGCGGGTACCATGGCAGGGTTTAGGGCAGGGGCTCCGTGCAATCCAGTTGACACTTCCCGAAGGCCATGCTGATTTCAGGCACAGAGTGGGTGGAGATGGCCCTATGAGAGTAAGAATGGTGATGAGTGAATGAGGAAGCCACATCTGAGGGGCTCACGTCAGCCCCCCGGGTGCTCTACCCAGGTGCTGGGTAAGCCAGGCTTTCCTCTGGGGTGAGCTGAGGCTCAGGTTGCTACAGGCCATGGGCGGGGAAGGGAATTTACCACATCATTCCTTCTATCTTTCACGACAGGCTGAGCGCCATCCACTCTTCCACTCATCTTTGAATGCCCAAGAAGTAGGGCGCCTCACCACCCCACTTCCCACTGTTACTGAAGTCTCATTTTAAAGTCAGGTGCTGGCTCGGACCAAATGAAACCCCATCTCAAAATCTAGACTCCAGCTTCCAAGAACTAGGGATCCCAAGGGTGGGAGGAAATATTTATTAGTGGCTACCTGGGAATAGTTTGCAGGTATAGCAAGTGCGTGGGGGAAAGTTCTCACCGACTTGATTTCATGCTAACTCCTCATGATTCCTTCTAGTGTTCTGTGAAGACCCGTGGCAACTTTCTGAGCATCTGTCTTGCATTTGCCTAACAAGTTAATTAACACTTTTTGTCACTCTGGCAGCTTTGGAGGGGACGGGAGGGGGATGTGACAGCCAGCGCTGCCTTGGGTTAACCCTGCACTCACCCAGCCCAGGAAGAAGGCAGCTGAGCTTGGCATTGTCAAGGCAGAGGTCTCCACACTGACCCTCTCCTTCTGTCCACAGCTGGGGCACCCAGGGTGACTTCTCCACGACCCATGCGCTGCCAGCTGTGAAGGTGAAGTTGTTCACAGAGAGCACAGGCGTCCTGGCCTTGGAGGACAAGGAACTCGGGCGGGTAAGCATTTCCCATCACAACTATTCATACAAGTTGCTCCAAAGAGCAGGTGTCCCCAGATCCCAAGAGACAGCATTGCCAAGAGCTGAAAGACCTGGCTTTGCAATTTAAATCCCAGGCTCCACTCTACATGGACTGTGCCACATTGAGCAAGTCCTTCAACCTCTCTCAGCCTCAGCTTCCCCTCCCCAAATCCGGTTACCACAACGCGCACTGCAGAAGACAGAGCAGGGTTCTCACACCTTCCAACCCAAACATCCTGTAGATCAAGGCGTTCCCATGCCCTTTACTATCCTGAAGTGAAAGTCTTAGGTATTTAACAAACCTACCCACATAACACTCTTTAAATAGACACAGCATATAAAGGGGAAGTGAAAGGGAATTAAACAATAATTATTTAATTTCAAAATGTGAAGCACCAGGCACAACTGCACTAGGCCTAGGGAAGGGGCCCCACATGGAGCGTCACTGTGATGGGGCAGCTGCAAGTTGACAACTCAAAAGCCTAAGGACCAGTACACTGATTTCTTGAATCGACAAACAAGTCTTGGTAACAAAATTTTCTTGATTTCCCTGGAAAGGTGCCAAAAATACGTTGAGTGTATGTGTAAAAAAAAATTAGAATCTGGACTCAGTTCATTATAAACAGGCTTTTCCACCTCCATTCATATTCAGTGGGAATATTTAAAAGTCAGGGAGATGCAGGAAATTCCTTATCGGAAAAGATGATCTCGCTCCTCTCCTGGACTTTCAGTATCCCTGGGCCCCCCCCCGGTCAACACCAGCAGAGCTCAGCACCAATTATTTTTTCAACCATAAATGTCCCCCCCAGTTTTTGCAATATCCGGGCCCGGGGGGATTGTACCACTGCCTTTGAGCACTACTGGGATAACAAAGATATTTCTTCTTGCGTCTCAGCTACTGATGCTGCACCAAAAAGCGAGTAGTATTTTCAGACTAAGTTAGCCAACTTGACACGCTCCCATCACTCACTCTCACTGCCTGTAGTAAAATCTGAGCTCGGAAGCGCAGCCTACAAGGGCGCGGCTGACCCCTGCCTGGGCTTCTGCCCGCCCCCTCAGCCCACTTGCTGCCACTGTGCCCAGGATCCTTAGTCGAATGCCAGTCCCTCAAACAAACCAAGTTCTTTCCTGTCTCAGGGGGCTCCCCTCTGCCTGGAGCCCTGGCCCCACCACCCAAATCTTTGAAAGGCTGCTATTTATAAATGCCCCTCCTGGGAGAGCCTTTGGGGACTGCCCGCCCTCCTCTTGCTACCGAAGCCCCCATTCACGCCCTCCACTGAACCCATCCCCAGGGAGAGAGAGAGAGGAAGAACTTACAGAAATGTTGGCCTCTGTATCCCCCCAGACTGCGAAAGCTCCAAGGAGACAGAAACCTAAATTATTTTGTCCCGCATCCCCCCCCCCAGAGCCCAGCACGTAGACTCTCAAGGCTGAACGGATAATCCCTTCCGAAAGCTGTGTGACTTCAGACCAGACTTTGAGCCTTTCTGGGCCTCTGACGTTTTATCTAGAGGACAAGAGAATGCCCCAGGCAAGCACAGGGGCGCCCGTGGCCACGCCAGCAGGAACACATTAGCCACGCTTCCTGCCTTCTTCCTTTGTCCTTCCTTGCTCTGCCTGTCATCTGTAGACCCGACCTGGAGTCACATTGCTAGGACCCACGCCACAGATGGAAGTAAAACAAAAAGTGAACAAGGGTAACAGCAAAAAGAGTGCCCTCTGCCCCCTGCCAAAAAGGGAGGGGAATGAAAGAAGACGGTCAGGGTTTTCTTTCAGAAATGAAAAGTATTTATTTCTGTCCCTAGGGAAAGAGAGACACACAGATGGGGAAGCAGCTTCCCTTTTATTCTTCTTCAAACTTCTTTTCCATGGAGAATCATGTCAAGAGCCATGAGCGTCTCAGAGCACTAGGGTATTAATGTCAGAGGAGACGAGTCCAGAACTCAACCTGAGTCTGCCAAGGGCTCTGGGGGACCCAGGAGCCCCTGGAAATTGTTTGCAAATGGTGGGGGGATATGTGCGCTTCTCTGGACTCACTAGTTCAAAGCTTTCGCCAGCTTCTCAAAGCTGTTCCCACTCAGAGAAGTTAAAACCACTGGGCTCGTCAAACCCTTTCATTTTAAAAATGAGAGAACTGATTCCCGAAGAAGGCAGGAAACTTGCCCAGAGCCACCCAGTTCGCTGGGGCCCATGCACAGCCGTCCCCTTTCCATTGGCCAGACCACTGTCCTAAGGACTTTATGCGCAGCCCCTCACTGAGCCTTCGCCATGACCCTCATGAGGCAGCTACAGTTGTCGCTCCTCCGGTCCAGGTGAGCACACTGGGCCCGGAGGTGGCAACTTACCAGGAATGATGTTGCCTCATCTCCAGGGCCACTTTTACTACCCCTCGGTGTCCTCAGCAAAAACAGACCCCTCAGCTCTGCGCCCATGAGCTTGCCGCAGCTCCCACACAGCCATTCTTCCCTTAATAAATCATTCCCTCTTATACATTCCCCCAGATACGAGCCTACACTTGCTGCCGCCAAAGCAGCTTTCCAGCTGCAGCGGAGCTGCCTGCCTGGCCTCGTGCCAGCTGGGGCGCCCTCTGCCGGCGGCACCTCCACAGGCAGCCGCTGGGTGACTACTGAGCCAGCTTTTTAGCCTGAAGCCATTCATTCCTTGGCGCCCTCAGGACACAGCCACATTCGAAATCCCCATTCTACATTCATTCCTTCAATAATATTAATTTGTTCCATCTTTACTATGTTTCATTTTTATTAACCTTTCTAATTTAAAAAATACATGCATGCTGTAAAAAATTAAAATGGACACGGAGTGAAATTACTAATCCCTTCACCTCACCCTGGTATCGTTCCCCAAAGAAAGAACCTTGTTTTCCGTTTATTGTATGTTCTTCCCCAAATAGTCTCTGCATGTACAAGCATAGCCTATACAAGCATATGCGTATATATCCCTCTTTTAAAAGAGAGCACAGTAGGAAGTTATTGTATACCTACTGCTCTGCACTTTGCTTGAAATATCAGTGAATTTGGAGATTAGTCCATATCAGCCATATTGACTTCCCTCCTGTTTTCATAGCTGGGTAGTATTCCATTGTGTGGATGCATCCTAATTTATTTAGGTTGTTTCCAGTCTTTGGCTATATAAACAATGTTTCAGTAAATAATCTTCAATTTATTTCTTTGCACACATGGGTGTGTATGTATAGGACAAATGTCAAAAAATATTTTGCTGAATGAAATTTGAATTTTGATAGATACTGTCAGATTGTCCCCTAAAGAGTAGTATACACCAATTTATACTTCTACAAAAGGCATAAGAATGACTGCCTCCCCACCCCCATGACTACACTTCAATACTGTCCAATTTTTTTAAAATATGTTTTTATTGATTTCAGAGAGAGCAAGGGAGAGGAAGAGAGAGATAGAAACATCAATGATGAGAGTCATTGATCAGCTGCCTCCTGCCCCCTACTAGGGATCAAGCCCAAAACCTGGGCATGTGCCCTGGCCGGGAATCAAACCGTGACCTCCTGGTTCATAGATCGACGCTCAGCCGCTGATACTATCCAATTTTTATGCATCGAATATGATTGTGGGCCCACTGTGTTCTGTCATTTGTGCTACGCACAGAGCAAACAGGAATAGTGATAGGCAAAAATTCTTAACCTCAAAAAACTTAAACGGCTGTAGACATAAAAACTAGGCCTTATAGGGCAGTGTGGTGAAGGACACCTGGGAGCACATAGCAAGGGGACACAATCCAGCCTGAGGGGAGGGGATGCCTTCCCAGCCAGGGGCACGGAGGTAGGGAGGGATATCTCGGCCAAGTCTTGAAGGGGACCGGCCAGGTAAAGGCTCAGGGTGAAACAGTCCCCTGGAAGGACCTGCCTGTGCCCAGGTAACTAAGAGAGCGGGGCCCGGCTGGCTGGCAGCCTACCGCTTCCTGCAGGGGGCCGGTGTGTTCCCACATCAGCATCACCACATCAAAGCGCAGCACACATGGGCCTCGGCTGAGATGACGAAGTGCTTGATTAGCAGCCTGGAATGTCCAGATGAGGTGTCTGGACTGTGCGGGGCTTATGTGCACCCAGAAGGACCCTAATAATTCAGCAAGGTTGACACATACAAAGGAGTCGTCGACCCATCAGGAGGGTGGGGGTGAAGGTGGAGGAGAAATGCAGTGACCTCATCTCCCATCCACCCTGGAGAGGAGGTCTCCCCAGGGAGCCCCCACGTGGGGGAAGAAGTCTTTGTAGAGAGGCCAGTATTGAGCTGAGGCCATTTGCATTGGCAAACGGACACCACATTGGCAGTGGGAAACCTGCCCAGAACCATATGGTGGGAGGCCTGTTAACGAGCTCCGGGTGCCCAGAGCTCTGCTCCCACCGACTCTGCCAAACGGGCAGGAGCAGAAGGTGGCCAGGGCCTTGCCTGCTGTCGTCCGGCCCTGGCTGGGGCTTCTCCTCTCAGCACCCCCCTTTCCTTGCTTCCCAGCACATCACCCCACCTCCCCACTCAGGCCACCAGAGCTCAGGAGAGAGGGTCAGCTTCTCTGGGATCAGCAGCCCTTCCTCCCATCTCTCCAAGGCTCAGGTCTCAGAATATGGAAGTGATAGGGTGACGGAGGGACTGCATTCTCTTGAGGGAAGGGAGTGGTGTCCACCCCCCAGTGGCACCCTGACTTACTCATTTACATCTGATGTCCTCCAGCATGTCCAAGTCCGCTAGTGCCAGTTAAGTGAACTTATACATTTTATAATAGAATTTTCACTAAATTAACCCTCACAAAATGAACGAATGGCCTGAAAAGATTACTACAGAGGAGCTCTGGTTTGAAGATAATACTAATATTGCGAACCTGGCAAATGACACAAAAACAAGGAAGCTGCCCCCAGTCCTGCTCGCAAGAGCTCCGTCACCCACCCCGAGAGAAAAACAGCCCAGTACAATCAGACAGGATCCGACATCAGTCAACATGTTATGAAATTATTTACCAAGCTGTGGAAATGCAGATTTACATCCAGTATCAGTCAGCCTTGCCCTAAATATATACGGTTAAATACAGCTAATAATGGAACAAAGCCACCACAATTAGCAAGATACTTAAACTATAGTTTTTGTCTTTAGCCCATTTTTTAAGACTTCTATGTTTATGTATGTTTTATGATATATGTAGTTCATGTTAACACAAAGTAAACATATAAACATCCCACTCCTTCCAAGTGCACGTTCTCCAGGTCCCACCCGGCTCCCGAGAACTCCTTCCCCTCAGGTGCAGAAGGGGACGCACTGAGCGCCTCACTCGCAGCCTCGGAGGCAGTGAGAACAGGCGCATGTCCCTCATCAGAGCGCCGTCTCCAAGGCACACTGGTGGGGGCCGTCCCAGGCGCCAGCCCTTCCTCAGCTGTGCACCCCCTTCAGGGCCAGGACAGAGCTGGTTGTCATGGGATAAGATGAAAGGTACAGCTGGGGGGAAAAAGGGCAGCAGAAACCGGGCTGAGATGTGTGACTGTCAGCAAGTCCCCTCCCTTCTCTAAGTGGCATATTTCCATCCATCAAATAAGGTCCCACCCACCTTCCCTGCAGCCTCTGAGGGATTTCTCCTGCTGAAATGGTGGAAGGAATCCCACAGAATGGAAGAAGAGTGGACTCTCAGTGCCCTCTGACACGTAAGGGTGTCTCTCCCCTCACACCCCGTCTTCTTATGTGAAGAGCATGCCAGCGGAGAGCAGGCTCCAGTACTTCTGAGTTTGGAAAAGTGTGGAAGCGAGATCACAGAAATCGCCATCCTTGCTTTAGAGAATTAGCCAGGGAGGGAGAGGAGGGGGCAGAGGGCACCATTTCTGCCCTCTGGCCTGGCTGCTTGGCAGGAGGCAGCCGAGGTTGGTAGGTGGAGCCTTGGATTTGAGTCCCACGCCCAGGCCTCCTCTTCATGTGACGCTTTCCCTCTGGCTATGGAACCCGGACAGGACACTACTTCTCCGCAGCCAAGTTTCTCATCGGTAAAAACATGCCCATCACAGTGTTTCTATTTTCTGGCTAAGATGATTGTCTTTTATCCCAACAGGTTATTCTCCATCCCACCCCGAACAGCCCCAAACAGTCAGAGTGGCACAAAATGACAGTCTCCAAAAACTGCCCCGATCAAGACCTCAAAATCAAGCTTGCCGTCCGAATGGATAAACCTCAAAACATGAAGCATTCTGGGTAAGTGTTGGACACACTTCCATTCATTTCTTAAAATATTTTTTAAATAGAAAACCTGATCCTCAGTGAATCACATGGAAAGAATTATAAAGGATTCGTGCGAGGTTATTAAAACACTTACTCTGATATTTACAGTCGTCCCTCGGCGTCCATGGAGAATTGGGTCCAGGACGCCCTACAGATACAGTGGCGTAGGACTTGCATGTAACTTAGGCACATCCTCGCATATACTTTAAATTATTCCTAGATTCCTTGTAGTTTCTAATACAATGTAAATGCTATGTAAATAGTTGTTAGTCTGTATTGTTTAGGGAGTGATAACAAGAAAAGTCTATCCATGTTCAGTACAGACGCAACCATCTAGGCCTAACTATATCAGCAACAACGTACCATTTCTAGAATATTTTTGATCATAGCTGTTTGAATCGCAGGACACAGAACCCGTGGATCCAGAGGGCCAGTTGTGCTATGCTTCCTCAGGTCTCAGGATTACTGCGCTGTATTTGCATTGGTGGTAACTGTCAAGACAGAACCATTTCCTTCTCTCTCTGGCCAGGACGTCTAGTGCATCCCCTGCCTCACTAGCAGCATCCTGGGTGATTCTGGTTTAGGAGGTTTTGTTGGCTTCAAATACCTTTTCAAAGGCATTCCGATTTTCCAGACTCTATGAATCACTCCCTTGCACCTTTGTTAACAGCCACATGCAGTTGCCATAGGTGACCTTCAAACAATCAACTCACATTGAATCAGTATTAATGTGTAGAGTAGCTTTTAAATAAACAACAACAAAATAGAAAATGTATGATCAGCATTAGTTTCTTAAGATTTGAGAATGACCAGTTAAGTAATTTCAAACAGAATTAAAGAAGGTAAAATATAGTTTTATTTTACAGATAAAATTAATGATTTCTATAGAAAATGTTTACTGACAATTGGGTATATGCTGAGCGAATGGCCTATTAAACAACACTGCTTAGACCCCACTATCTCAGGAAATGTGACCACCACGTAGGGAGGAGTTGTGCCATATAGTTCTGAACAGAGAACATTTAACCAACAGAAGGGAATGGATTGTTTTTCAAGGATTCTGCAGGTACCATTTGCCAACCAGCTATAACTATGCTTAGCCCCTCTGGTCAATGGAAATGTCTCAAATTTGGGGGTATGTATGTTTATGAGAGGCTTAAAGTGGCAAGACTGACATGAAAACTGAGATTGCTTATATACTAGAGGTTTGGGGGAGTCAGAAACCCACACCAGGGCCTAGCTGCTGATTCAAAGAGAAGCCCAGGAGCAGTCCAGGAGGGAGGCTGAGGGCCAGAAGCACAGCCCCCAGCAGACGGGCAGCACATGGTCGGTCAGAACAGAGCCGAGCCTTGGTGCCTCGGAGTGCTGGGGAGCAGACAGGTTCCTACCAGTCAGGGGACTGGAGCGCTCCCGCATGGGGACTCTGGAAGAAGCAAATATTTTTCAGGAGCTGGAGACCTGGCACTGAAGCTGAGCATGACTTGGATTTGGAAAATTAACATGGCCTTGTCTTGAGGCCAAACTCAGAGCTTGACATGGGATTATGGCAAAGCTCTTTGCTTGCAGCCATGCGAAGACTGCGGGCCATGAGCCTGGCCCTTGCTACACACTGAGTCTTTTTTCAACCTTCCATCTCCTCAATTAGATCAGAGTCTATGAAAATGTTCATGAGATATTTCTGAGATGTTGGCATATATTCCCAGAATGTTCAGTGGGAATTCTCCCTCATATCTCTTCCCCTTCAAGGCACACACCAAGGTTTCAAGCAAATAGTTCGAGAATTCTGTTGGGTTTCTGCAGCACACAGGGGAAATTCTGCATTTTCAGCAAAACACTGGCACACAGAGAGAGACAGAGAAGTGAGGAGGGGGGAGACCAAAGAGAAAGGACAAAAGTATGAATGAATGTACCTGTCCTCAACACTGCCTTTTGAAAACTTCCTTAAAAAGACCAGCAGCTCATTCCAGGCCCTTGGAAGCCCTATGCTAGGAGTTTCACAAATACTCTCATTGCATCCCCATGGCAAACCTTTGACGTAGGTATTATTTTCCCCATTAGACAAATTCCCACATTCTTGTCATGGACTCTGTTGGAATTTGAACTATCCGATCTGGATTCAGTAACTTTTTTGTTGATTTATTTGTAAAATTATTAACATATTTCAGGTGCCTTGACCCTATAGATGAAAGAAGAAATATGTAGCTCACTTCTGCCATCTTCTGTAGCTATTTAATCCACTAGACTGCCATTTAAAGATTACCCCTGCCAGGAAATATACAAAGAGGGCCTAGAATAGCTCTGAAAAGTGAACAATAGATACCTTAATATAACACCATCAGCCCTACTGTGGCCTGAACCAGAGATGATTCACGGAAAATGGAAATATTATAAACTACTTTTTTTTTCCTCATGTAAACTTAAAATAGCTTTACTGAGCCCCATTGTGTGGGAGAGAATGATGGGGACATCAGAGCACTATCACTGCTTGGAGGATTAGGGAGAGGAAGGAATGTTTAAGAAGTATGGCTGAGGTTATAAACGTATCCACTTTGATGTGTACTGAAACATAAAAGGAAACTCAGAATTACTACTCAGATTGTGGTTCATTGAATGAGCCACGGACCCATTCAGAATAACTTTCTTTACTGAATAGGAAAAGGTCCAGTCAGAACATCAACACTGCTTTTTGGCCTTAAGACATCGGTACCTGGGCATATTTGAGAATTAGCAACTCCTCGGTGGCTTTCCAAGCAGTATCTTTTACATCCACGTGGTGCTTTAAGTTCAGGGAGTACATTCACTTGCATTAGCTCACTTTGTCCCTGGAACAGCCTCACAAGGGTTAGGCAGTATTGTCCCCCCATCTTAACAAATGGCCCTCTTCACCAGTTGCTCAGACTAAGACCCTTGCAATCATCTTTGACGTTTCTCTTTCTCTCTTACCCCTCACCTCATCCATCATCAAAGTCTCTTCACTCCACCTTCAGAATAAAATCCACAGTCCAGCCTCCCAGTACCACCTCCCCATCACCATTCGAATCCAAGCCCCCATTACTTCTCCCCTCACCTGTTGTGCTTGCGTCGTAAGCAGTCCCCCTGCTGTCCTTGCCTCCCCGGAATCTATTTCCCACCTGAAGCCAGAGTAATTCTTTTGCAAAACACAAGTCAGATCCTGCTGCTCAAATGCTGGAGAAGCTCCACTGATTCCCCACCATGTTCAGAAGTCAACGTTGTCACCATGGCTACGGGGGCCTATCTGATGAAGACTTCACTCACCTATCTGACCTTGATCACTGCTCCAGACATGTTGGCCTCCTTGCTGTTCCCAAAGACTCTAAGTGCACCCCAACCACAGGGCCCTTGTCCTCACTGTTTCCTCTGCTTTGAATGTTCTTTTTCCCCCATGCTGGCTGATGTCCACATGGCTCACCTCGATTTCTGCATGTCTCTGCACCTTACTAGAATGCCTTTCCTGGCCCTCCTTCTTACTCTGCTTTATTTTTACTGGAGCACTTATCATCATCTCACATATCATATATTTCTCTATTAGTGTGTTGTCTGTCTTCCCCACTAGAGTGTGAGCTCCTTGTCTTTAGGGACAATTGTCTCCTTTGTTCGAGGTAGAAGCTATAGGGCCTGACGTGTGGTAAAAGTCCAATAAATTATTTGTTGCATAAGTAAGTGAATGAATGAATCCCTATTTTATAAATAAGTAACTGAGGCTCAGAATGCTGAAAAGACTTGCCCAAGTCAGAGTAAGATAGGTCTAGAATCGTTTCAGTTCAACCTTAACTGTGGATCTGAAACTTAAATTAAATGAACCACAGTCCACCAACCCCGAGTAATTCACAGCAATTCTGATTTTCCTTTTATGTTTTGACAAATCTTAAAGAGAATAGTTTATAAGTCTCAGCTGTGCTTCTCAAAATCCCCTTTCCTCTTTCATTTTCTTATCGGTGCCCTTGCTCTAGACTCCTTGATCTTCAAAACCATTGCACTCCTCTCTCCTCCCCATAAATCTCCAAGACACTTCACATGTTAGCTGTGACTCAAATGAAACTACTTAGACTGGACTGACTGAATATTTTTAGTATTTCCTTTTATGTCCCTTCTTGGCTGATTTTCTATAAATATCAATTATATCTAGTCAATTGATCAAATCTTCTAAATCCTTACTGACTTTGTATCAATTATTAATAGAGAGACATTGAAATCTCTCACTATAACTGTGGATTTGTTTGTTTTTCTTTATAGTTCTGTCCATTTTTGCTTAATATATTTTAAACTGCTGTCTCTGTTACTAGATGCATAAACATTTAAGATTATTATATCTTCTTGATGAATTGACCCCTTTATCACTATGAAATGATCTTCTTTACTTCTAGTGATATTCTTTGCCATAAAAATTACTTTGCAAATATAGTCACTCCAGATTTTTTCAAAAACTAATGTTAGCATCTTAAATTCTTTTCCATTATTGAAATTTTTTTACCTGTCTATGTCTTTAGTGTCAAAGTGCATTTCTTATAGGCAGCATGGATTTGGGTCTAGATTTTTAAATCCACCCCGAAGCTCCGCCTTTTAAGATCGTCTATTTGTATTTAATGTAATTACTGAAATGGTTAGGTTGAAATTAAATTGCTGTTTGTCGTCTTGCTAGATGTTTTCTGTTTGTTCCATCTGATCTTTGTTTCCTTTTTCCTCTTTTTCTTCCTTCTTCTGAATTTTGATCCCATTTTATCTTCTTTATTGTATTAGCAAATAGAAATGCCGACTAGGTCAGCTGCCTGAATGTAATGCTTGGCTCTACCACTTACTAGCTGAGGGCAAGTTGCTTAACCTCTCTGGACCTCATCTTGCTGAGCCTAAAATGGAGGTAATGATAGCGTCAGCCTCTGGGGTTGTTGTGAGGATTATACGAGTTGATAAATGTCAAGCATTTAGATACATGATCAGAGCTACAGCTACAGCGG